CCATGGCATGTATACACACACACACACACACACACACACACACACACACACACACGCATACATTTTTTTCACGCATGCACACACGCACACACATACACTAAAAAATGGAATAAATTTTTAAAAAATATATGAATCATGAATTAAGGAGGCATTATTGCTCTACCATCAATTGTACTGGATATCAAAGAAATCACATCTCAAGAGAAATCACACCTCAAATTATGAGACCAATTTTACAAAACCAGAATAATATCACTGAAATAAAGTCATACACAATCTAGTCACAAGATTTGTTTCAATTGTTTGAAACCCAGAAATAAAATAAATAAAATCAGAGATCAAAAAGAGGACATCAAAACAGAATTCGGAGCTGGAGAGATGGATCAGCAGTTAAGAGCACTGCCTACTCTTGGTTCGATTCCCAGCACCTACATGGCAGCTAACAACTGTCCGCAACTGCAGTTCCAGGGGATATGACGCCCTCTTCTGACCTCCATGGGCACTGCATAACACCGATATACTTAAAATACATGCAGGCAATACACTCATATACAGAAAACAAAAATAATAAAAAAAAATTAAAACAGAATCCAGGGAAATCCAGAGGATCACTAGAGAAATAGAGTGAAAATTTTAATTTTAAAAAACTTAAAAATCTACAACAAATGGACAATATCCTAGACACAAATGACCTACCAAAATCAAGCTGAATAATAAATAACTTAAACAGACAGGCATGATGGAGCACACCTTTAGTCCAAACACTTGGAAGGCAGAAGCAGGAGGATCTCCATGAGTTTGAGGCCAGTCTGGTCTACATAGCGTGTTCCAGGCCAGGTGGAGCTACAGGGAGACCCTGTCTCAATAAGGATGGATGGATGGATGGATGGATGGATGGATGGATGGATGGATGGATGGATGATGAACGAACAAACAGACCGACCTATAAGAAGCAATGAGATTGAAGAAACAATGAGTCTCCCAACAAGGAAAAGCCCAGGACAGGTGGAGAGATTGCCAAATTTGGTCAAACCTTTCAAGAGCCAAAGCTGCACCATGAAATTTAAACAATATGGCTGCATAATGACACCACCAGTGTACATGTCATTGTAGGAAGAGGAAATTTCTCAAGATCCCACATCTAGATGAAAAACTACAGGCAACCAATGGCTGCTACGAGAGGGACAATCAGTTTTTCCCGAGAACCAGCTCCTGATCCAACAACAAGCAGTCAGTCCTAAACACATGTACATGCCAGCAACATTAAATGGATTCAGAAGGTTGAATATACATATATATGTATATGTAAATGTATACGTAATAATAATTCAAGAAGAGGTTATGAATTTGAAAAGGGGAGGGGGAAATGCAGGATGAGTTAGAGGCAGAAGAGAGGGGTGGAAATTTCATACTAGTGTATGAAATTCTCAAAAAATTATAAAATTTGAATTAAAAAAGGAAAGGACATGGGGGTGCAGATAGGGAAGAGGTCTAAATACAATTAAGATGCATTATATGAAATACACAAAAATTCAATAAAAACATACACTGGAAAAAAACACAATTAATAATGAAAATACAACTTAAGATCTGTTTCTTAACTTTTGCATTCAATAACTTAATAAAACATATGTATTAAACAATTTGGACACTGTTCCTGTAAATAAAAATTATGCATGTGGTGGCACATAGCAAGTTCAGGCCAACTGGGGCTACAGAGAGACCTTGTCTCAAAAATTAAAAACACACACACACACACACCCCCAATATACTGTACATCAGAAAAAACTAGAAAAGTAAAGAACAGTGTCAAACATTCTGTGAAGACAGTTTTATGCTGATGCTTACAAGACCTTGTATCAAAATAAAGTCTACATATTGACTCAAAAACAAAATCCACTGTAGAAATTTAGTTAAATATCAAGAATTTCTATAACAAACAAAAGTGTAAATTTTTTTTAATATTTTATTATTTTTATTTTATGTGTATGAATGTATTGCCTGTATTGTGTAAGTGCACCCGTGTCATGCAATGCCTGCAGAGGTTAGAAGAAAGCATCAGATCCCCTGGAACTGGAGATACAGATGGTTGCTAACCACCAGGTGGGTGCTGGGAATCAAACCCGGGTCCTCTGTAAGAGTAGTCAGTGCTCTTACCTGCTGAGCCATCTCTCCAGTCCCAAGTACAATTTTTTTTAAACCAAGAACAATGAAAGAAATACACAGTTCAGATTTCAATACTAGTTATTAAAACAAATTTCTGGGGGGCTGGAACAGAGAACTCAGTGTTTAAGGGCACTTGCTCTTCTTGCAGAGAACCCAGGTTCAGTTCCCAGCACCTACATGATGGCTCACAACTATCTGTAAATCCAGTTCCAGAGATCTGAAGCCTTTTTCTGGCCTCTGTGGGCACCAGGCACACACACGGTGCCTATGCATACATGGAGACAAAACACTCATACACATAAAATAAAAATAAAAGACATTGAAAATATTTCTGGAAAGATAGTGATAATTAGCAAAGTAACTGACAGGTTCAAATCCAAAATTCTCCATCAAATTTTCAAAAGGATTTCTAGAATTTATGACAAGCTGACTCTTTAAATTAATCAGGAAAATACAGCTTTCAAAAAAAATGAAGGGGTATTCATTCTGTGAGACACTACTTATTCAAAGTTATTCCAAATAAAAGAACATACCTATATAGCTAAGGTAACAATCTAATAAATATAGTAATAAAACAGAGTATGAATCTGGATATTTAATGTATAATACACAAATCACTTCAAATCAGTAAGAAATAGAAAAGGCTATACACAAAAGGCAGGGTCAAAACGACAAGAGTCAGTATATACTGTTAACCAAATCAGATACTGGTTTACTGCTTCTCAGCTACAAATTCACCCTCTATTGCCAGATCTGTGAACATGAGCACAGAGACACACACACACACTCTCTCTCATTGCTTTTAATAAAAAAAAGACACAGTCTCACTGTGTAGTCCAGATAGCCTCGAACTCATGATTCTCCTGCTTCAGCCTTCTATGTGTTAGGCATGTACAAGCACACCTGAGAATATAGGCCTTTAAATGTTTCACTTGACAACTGGCACAACAGAAAGCTTTCTCAGTAGAGAGCACTAGATACACACTGCAGTAAGGAAAAGCAGCTTGCCGGCCAAGGAGAACATGATTTTGTCTCTTCTATTTGGCCCATCTGGTATTCTCCGGTGCTAAGTGCCCACAGGGTAGCACTTTCCCCAGCATTTGGCACAACATATGTTATCCCAGCTCCTGAATCTGGTCACAACAACACAGCTGAGCACCGTGGAAAAACCAAGACTGCGCCCTATATTCCATCCCTGAACTTTGCATCCTGTTCTCAGGCCCAAAGACATAGACAGCAAGTGTTCCATGGGGATAGCTGTCTGGTAAGCCAAATAACCAATATTACTGTGTGAAAGAGACTTAAATCTCATAGGCTGTTAATTTCTGTGCATGCCCTTCTGGGGTTCACCTCTGTTCCACCTTCTTCAGTAAGATCTGAACCTACTTCCAAACTTACCCTTTGGGTAGTCTCTCTCTGCCCTAGTATATACTTTGAGTTCTCTTTCCATCTTCACATAGTCTCCTATCTCTGCTTAATAGTTTATTATATGTAACTTCAGTTTAAACTACTATTGGTTTCTGCCTCCTAGTGTAATTCATATGGATACAATAATCTTAGACAAATCACTAAACCTCTCGAGTCTGTTTCCTCATCTGTAAAATTAGGATAAAAGTACTGACAATAAGGTTATTGTGAGAATTAAATTATATACTACATACATGTAAACCAGTACAGAACAGTGCCTACTATGTTAGTCATACAATAAGTTATTGTTGCTGTAATTCAATAAGTTATATAGGGACAAATTAGTATTTGTTTCAGGAATAACAGCAATAAATTCAAGAGGCAAATTAAAAATTATACATATCTTAAAATGAGTGACTGTGCTTATAAATCCTAAGACTTTATATTATGTAAAATATAAGAGTCACAAGAGGGAAAGTAGTAAGTTTCACAAACAAAATTTTTAAGCTCTGAGAAAGAAATAACATGAACAAAGATATGTGAGACAAGCCATCTAAGAGGTACAAATAGTAAATTCACAGAGACAGGCCAGTAAAATTTTGTAATGAAATAAATAAAATTAAAACTATTTGAAATATCCTTTCTTACTTATCATAAAAATCAAAGCAGACAAAAAAGGTGCATACCTTTAATCCCAGCACTCAGGAGGCAGAGGCAGAGGCAGGAGGATCACAGTGAGATCCTGGCGGGCTGGGGCTACAGGAAGACCCTGTCTTTAAAAAGCAGACAAAAAAAATCAGAACAAATGGAAAACCAAACTGATTTAACTCTGGCATAGAGGGCTACACCCAACATCAACAGAATACATGTTCTTTTGAAGTTTATGTGAACATTTATCAAAGCATACTACTGTAAACTTGGCTGCAAAGTATGCACACATACATGCACGCAAAACACTCAAACACACAAAATAAAAATAAATAATTTTAAAAGTAAATTTCATCTATATCATCTGAAATGTATTAATATTGGTACATTTCAAATTACAAAGTTAACAGAATACTACGAATCATGTTAAATATCTATAATCTCTTCAAGGACTAGAGAACAATGTACTTCTAAGCAAACTTGGGCAAACTGCTCTACTGTTTAGTTTTGTTGTGTTTAGCTTTCTGCCTTTGTTACTACTGTTGCTTTGCAGTCCTAGAGGTAAGGATCAGGGCTTCCTGCATACTAGGCAAGAGCTCTATCAATTAATCCATACATATTATAGATTCTTCTAAACTAAGATATCCTTAATTTAGTAAGAAAGAATATTTATTTTCAACATTAGTCTAAGCAAAAATGATTGAAAATACTTCTTTAGAAAATAGTAATATGCTTAGTTTTTCAAATAGGAGAGGTAGTGTGTAATAATGCCCACATACCGCTCAGTGCTCCAACTGCTCCAAAGTTTAAGGATTTTCCATCCATTATGCTGGCATCACACTCAATTTCCCCTAAAAGATTTAGATTAGATCCCATTCCTGCGTTTGTAAAAGGAGAATCCTAAAAGACAAAAACAAATTTAAAATATTAATCATAAAAAAGAATGTCAATCCTTCATAAACTCTTTGAAAAACTAGAAGGTAAGAGAATGCCTCCTAGGACTCTGGGGTCTTGTCCTTATCCATGGGATACAGGAAGCTGAGCCCTTCCCCCTTCCTAGGACCATTATATGACACCAATTCCTCTCTGATGACAAAAGGACAAAAATATAAAACTAGAGACCAGGGGCTGAAGAGTTGATGGCTCGGCGGTTAAGACCACTGGCTGCTCTTGCAGAGGACCTAGGTTAAGAGTCCCAGCACCCATATGGAGGCAAACACCTGTCTGTAACACCAGTTCCAGGGGCTCTGACACTCTCTTCTGACCCCTGCAGGCAATGCACAACATGGGTGCACTTACATACATTTAGGCAATACATTCATACACATAAAAAATTTAAAAATAACAGAAAATGTGTTTTAAAGAAAACTAGAGACCAATATACTTTGTATATATTGACACAAAAATCATCAAAGAAACAAAGGCAGCACAATATAAAAGGATGTTTATATCATGAACGAGAGGGATCTCAGAAACACAATTTTAAAATCTGAAACATCAAATCAATACAACGCCTCGTATTAATAAAATAAAGGAGAAAAAGGATAATCATGTCAACAGACATGGAAAAAAAAGCATTTAACAAAATCCAACACCTTTTTCATTAAAAAAAAAACTATGTAAATCAGAAATAGAAATTAACTTCCTAAACATGATAAAAGAACCTACAAAAAGTCCAGAGCTAACATTATGATTAAGGGGCAAAGACGAAATAATCTTCCCTAGAATCAGGACACAACAGGAATGTCTAGCCTCATTGCTTCTATTCAACAATATGCAACACAATCAATCTTAGGCACAAATTAGTAAAGAGAAAGAAATGAAGAGAAACTAAATTAGAAAAGTCAAGTAACACTTCTATATGAAGAAAACATGATCTTTTTAGCTTGCATTAGCTGTACAAAATAATGGGTTTTCTTATGAAATATTTATACACATATAAAATGTACTTTGATGACATTTACCTCTCTTATCATCTTCCCTTGCTCCCCTTCCCACGATGTAGTTGTTGAAGTGTTTGGATTTTTACAGGGTGCTGGTTCTGCCTGGCACATAATTGGAAGCCCACCCGACTCCCATGCCCCTTATGCTGAAGTCAAGGCACCTAGGGCCTATCATCATGATGTTATCTGTTATCACCCTGACATGGGAGAGAGAAGGCCTCAGTTTCCTATATTCTGTGGACAAGCCCCCAGAGCCACTACCTCCTGCTGTAGTTGGTGAAGTGCTTGCCTTACAAATATGAGGACCTGAGATTGATCCCCAGAACTCACATTAAAAAATAATAAATAAATAAATAAATAAATAAATAAATAAATAAATAAATAAATAATACCAGGAATAGTGGCACATACTTGGAATCTCAGCACTGGGGAAGTGGAGACAGGAGTACCCCTGGGGCTCCTTGACCAACCAGCCTAGCCTATTGGCAAGTCCCAAGCCAGTGAGAGACCCTGTCTCAAAGACAAAAAAAAATGGTGAACAGCACCTGAGGAATGGACACTCAAGATTTTTCTATGATCTCCACTGGCACAGCACACATGTGCACATACATCTGCTACACACACACACATACACACACACACACAGAGAGAGAGAGAGAGAGAGAGAGAGAGAGAGAGAGAGAGAGAATAGCCAAAACAATCCTTAACTGGAAAGGATTAAGAATACAAGCTGGATGTACAGGGAGACCCTGTCTCAAAAACTCAAACAAACAAAATGCAATGGAAGTGGGAATAATCTAGAAATACTAACAATCCCTTACATTTAAGGTCAATTCAACAAAACAATCCAAGATAGGATAATCAAACAAAACAAGATAGGATAATCTTTTCAATAAACAGGACCTTTATCTCACATCAAATACAAAAATTAAGTCAAAGTAGATGAAAGACCTAAACGTAAGAGTTAAAACTATATGATTCGTATAATAAACATAAAGCTAAATATGCATGACCCTGAGTTACACAGTGGTTTCTTAAGATTTGATATCAAAAGTACAAGCAACCAAAGAAAAAACAGATAAACTGGACTTCATTAAAGCTGTTATATTTAAAAGCATATTGAAGAAGGGGGAAACATGGAAGAAAAAAACTGCAAACCATACATATGATGGGTGACTTCTATTTGGAATATATAAAAATTTCTACAACTCCAAAAACTCATTTTAAAATGGGCAAAGGATATAAATAAACATCTCTCCAAAGATATAAGTAATCAGTAAGCACATGAAAAGATGTTCAACGCCATTTATCATCAGAGAAAAGCAAACCAAAAGCACAATGAAATACTACTTCACACCCACAATAAGAGCTATAATTAGATAGTAACACATGTTGGGAAGGATATGAAAAAATTAGAACTTTCATACACTGCTAAGAAAGGTACTGGCAGTTTGAAAAACATCTGGTGGGGTCTCAAGAAATTAAACAGAATTATCATTTGACCCAGATATCCCACGTATTATATGTATATGCAAGAGAAATGAAAACACAGGTCTACCCAAAGCATGCATATGAATATCCAAAGCAGCATTATTCAATTTGACCAAAAAGTGAAAACAAATCTAGTAGTCTACCAAGTGATAAATGGATAGACAAAACATGATATAGCTATACAACACAGCACTAACCATCAATAAAAGTGTAGTGACATAGAGATATATAATAAGGAAAAACTTTTTAAAAACTATGCTAAATGAAAGAAGTCTGACACGATCATCTATTATTCTACTTATATGAAATTTATGGAACAGGCAAATCCATTAGGTAGCCTGGTGGCAATCAGGGCCTAAAAGGAAAAATGGAAATAATTGTTAATGGCTAAACTGTTTCACTTTGGAATGGTGAAAATAAAGTGAAATTGGGCATTCATGACAGCTGTAGAACTTTATAAATATACTATAAACTGAAATGTACACTAATAAAGGATAAGTTTTATAGTATATGAATTATATCTCAAAAAATGTCACAGCGCTGAAGAGATGGCTCAGCAGGAAAAGTGCTTGCCTTTCAAGCCTGGCAACCTGAGTTCCATCCTCGGAACACACAATGGAAGGATAGAGCCAAGGAGAGAACAAACTCCCCTCTGACCTCCACATGCACACTTTGGCACTCAGATGCCCACACTCAAACACAGCAAATAAAATTAAAATTTCAAAAATAAAGGCCCAGGGTTTGATCCTCAGCACCACATAAACAAAGTGTGGTAGTACATGTCTTCAATTTCAGCACCTGAAAAGTGGAAACAGAAGGATTAGGAGTTCAAGGTCATCCTCAACTACAGAGCAAGTTTGAGGCCAGCTTAAGCTACATAAGATCCTCTCTCCACCAGGAGAAAAAAAATTTAAAAAAAAAGAATTTACAGCAATATGGTAGACAGAACATAAGGCCTAGAATCAGAGGCCAGTGGTATACTTGAAACCTAAAGGAAAAACTACATTTATAACACTGGGAACAGTTTTAAGAGTATGTCAAGCCTAGTTATTCAAGCCCATATCATACTTGATGTTCAACTAAGAAATATGGACGAAAAGCTAACATAAAATTTTAAAAAATAAATGCAGTTGAGACAAAGTCTCAAGGTTTATTTAACCTTTAAAAAAGAGAGGACTTGGTGGTATTGATGTTTTGTGGCTGCTGCTGCTTCTGCAGCTGAGGGAATGGTTTATGGAAAGAAGGTATGCACAAAAGAAACTTGGTACAGTTATCACTCCAAATACATGGAAAGATGGTGCAAGAAATACCACAGAATGTAGAAGAAAATAAAAAACTAAAGCTCTGACTTAAAAAAATAAAATAAGGTTTGAGCCACATGGAAAAAATAAGTTCTCAACTTGCAGAATTTGCAAATGATCTGTACACCAACCAGGTTCTTGTTACCGCCAGGGCTATGCCTGCAGAAAGGGCATCTGTGCAATGCATGGCAAAAGGGTTTCGGGTGCCAAAAACTACAAGCAGACTTCTGTCTAGATTATTAATAAAGTTTCTGGCTTCCCACGATTGTACTTTCTGCTTTGTTCAGGAAGTAGCCAGTAATTCCTTTAAAATCTGTCAGACTCTGGTGTTCCCTTGTTCAGACTGAGAATAAAACCTAAGTCCTTATTATAAAGGCTTCCAAGGTCCTACAGAATCTGACCCATCCTTGCCTCTTTCAACTTGATCCCTTGTATTTCCATTTTCTACACAGAAGTCACACTGCAAGTCCCTTAGCACATCAAGAAGGTCTTCACCTCAGATCTGAATCTGATGTTCATTCATCCCTTTGAAATGCTGAGCTTAGTAGGGATTCTAGTGACAGGAGGAGATAAATGAAGACAGAATGTGTACATATACATATATGTGTAAATAGCTGCTGGCTCATAGTGAAAAGTATGAAGAAAAGTGAAATGGAATAAAAAAGGTTGGTAGAGCACCTTTCCCCTACCAAGCACCTTCACACAGCTTTTTCCTTTCATACATGTCTCTGCTCTAATAGCATGGCATGACCTCCTCTGATTTATCTAGAATATCATCTTTCCAGGATCCCCCAGCCATTCTCCTTTCTCTTTTTCATGTATTTTATGACATTTCATTAACTAGCATTACATGTTAATTTTTGTTTTGCCTGATTCTTCTCATAGAGCATAGACCCTTTTGTTTTGAGGCACTGGATTCCAGTATCTAATGCAATGTTTTACACAAAGTAGGTACTCCATAAGTATTTGCAGAATGACTAATAAGTTATTTATAACTAGGTATAAACAATAAGTATAGCTGTGAATTATAGCCCCCTAAGCAAGCTGATAAGAATTCTTTCACGGACCTTAGAGAAATGCCAGAAAAATGTATGAAGAATACACTCTTTTCTTGAATAAAACAAGAGAAATGGAAAAACTCCACTTTTAGCAGATAAATTTTAAA